TCATTAGGTTATGTAATACATGCATTCTTTTGATAATAGAGTTGCAAATTTTCAAAAGATGTCATTTTTAGTCAGTGGTAACAGCTGTATACTCCTGGACACATTTATAAAACTACAGTTTTCTCCTTATAGAGAATAGCCCAGTGTCCACAGAAGTTCTACATGTATTGAAGCCAAAAAAAAATTTTATTTTACTTTATTTTATTTTATTGTCTCCCTTGGGAAACACACAAAGTCTCAGAGAACATTTCTTTTAATTTAATGTTCAACTGTATCAAAAATTTTAAAATAGGAATCATGTAAGTATCAAGTACAGAAATTAACATTGCAGGTGTCAGAGAAGTGAGGGTACTGTTCCAACTGTTTTTAACTGATATCGACTAGAGTCTAGCTGCAGGCAACTGTTAGAGGGAAGAAGGAGGGGTGATAGCCTGATTTTTTGCCTGTAAGCCCATTATTTAAGGCAACTACACAGCAAGGATTTTGTAAAACAATCCAAGTCAAATAATCTGTCCTGTTGTCCCCCCAAAACATGGAAATTTTTCAGAAATTCCAGTATTTCAGGGTCCTACGTGTACACCTACAAAGTCTACCAATCTCTTCTACCCCTACAAGTAATTCAAAGGCTTTCACTAGACCAGTGACCAGTGAGAACAGCAGTGAATATTTATGTGCCCTTTTAATTTACATAAACACAATATGCTTCCTCTGAGTGGAATGCTTCCTCCTCCCTCCCCCACTCTAGTATACCTTAACCCCTTTGCCTACCTAACTTCTGAAACTTTCTCCACATCTTAGACTAATTATCAATTATTTGAAGAAGAGTGAGCAGACTAAATTCCTTTCATTTCATAAGCACCAGTCATTCCTTTGCACTCATCAGAGTTGTAATTGTACATTTGTGCATAATAGTTATTTGATCATACCAAAGGAGTTCAGTAATAGTGGCAGACACTATTAATTGCCTACCTAACAGCCTGTCTTAATAACAGAATTCCCATTTGTAAGGGTGCTAAAAATGTGCACTCCCCAGGGATGAATCATGATTGGGCTAAGCCAATCGCGGCAACCCTATTTGTTGTCAGTGACTGGAACAAGGAGAAGCACTTAATCCAGTCCTGAACAGTGAGAGGAAAGGCAAAGGCTGCTGGTGATACTTCTCAGATAGGTTTTTTTCTGCAGAAAAGGGAGAGAGATGATTTAGGGAGAAGACCTTTTTTCTATTCTTTCCTGCTTTCCTGCCTTTGAAATTACCACATAATGATACGTCACTTAGAACTGCTATAGCAATCTTAGAGCCCTGAGAGGAACACCAAGAGAATCACAAAATGCCAGCCCATAACTGATATCATTTCTATTCCAAACCTGCCTTTCTCTAGAGTTCTCACTGAGTTAGATCATAGGTTCTGGCATTGCCAGGCCACCTTTGCTTGAGTATTTCTATCCTCTTAACCCAACATATTAACTGACATTGTTATAGCAGCAGTAGGTTATGAGTTAGCTATTTACTATGTTTAAAACTTGGGCCTCTATGTTCCATTTCAATAGTGATGATTTAAATAAAAGGTGCCCATTAACTGTATGGTTAATTTTTTTTAATGAAAAATACAGAATTTTTAAACCCAGAAATTTAAGAATCAAGATAATCATGAGTAAAAGGGCAGCAATAATTAGTCAAGCCATTCTGAAAACATGATACAATTATAACCACCATGACAAATCATGTGGTTTAACAAAATATAGTATTATACATCTTTTCACTTTTATGTGAAAATGAGATTTATGGTTTCTTGGTTAAGATATATCACTAAATGAAATCATGCCAAAGTCTTAAGATTTGCCAATATCAAGAAGGAATAAATCATGTTCCAAGAAGAAGTCTAAATTCATTACAAAATATTAATATCTGGGAGAACAAATTGAGAAATAAAAATGACTCAAGAAACTAAAAGAGCAAGAGGTATATAAAAATATTTTTAGAAGCTGTAGGCCACATTCATTTTTCCACAAATATTTTATTGAGCTCAGAGGAAGCAGGCTCTATGTAGGCACCAGAAGTATACAGGGTAAGCAAATAGGTCTATTCCTTGTCCATACTCATGTAACAGTGGTGGGAAAGGAGCCAACAGAGACAAACAGAACAAGCCAAGTCCCAGCTTTCCCACCTTCCACCCTAGGCAACTTTAGAGAGGTCAATGACCACTTTGAGTCTCACCATCTATAAAACAGGTAACATTCACCTTTAAAAATGTTTGTGTAGATTAAATGAGATGATGCCATAAAGTACCTAGGTGGTCCTGACACATATTAGAAGTTGAGTAAAAAGTAGCTTTCATCAAAACAATGATACTAAGTGAAGTTTACCTATGGCCACAAGTACAATTAGTAACATCATACTCATGGTACTAGTAAAGCTAAGTTTTAAAAAAAGCACTATATTATAAAAGAAAAAAATATTACTTTGGTTAAGATCTAATGTGAGGTGAAACTTTAATATGGGTGCCAAAATGATGTAGAAAAAAATAAGAGAGTAATAATAAAAATAACTGAAGAAACTGAAAATGTTTAAGAGGGAAGACTAATAGAAAATAATATAAATGACCTGATTACACAATATGGAAAGGCAATCTTATTTGTTCTTAAAACACAAATAAAACATTCTCAGACTAAAATCGTGGTACAATGCACTTGAGAGCATAGTGCAGTACGAATCAGGAGACCTGGATTCTAGGTCAGAAACCTCGACAAATTGTTTAACTTGTGAACCCCATTCTTCTCAGTGAAATGAGGTTACTGAAGTGAGTCAATGTTGCCCCACACAAACTATCCCATTAAAATGGTAAATGACCTACTTTTTCTCCCCTGTATTCCAGGAATGAAGAAAGGGGGAAACAGATAGAAGAAAACAGAGGAAAAAGTGAGTGTGAGGGGACAAAAAGGTGCAACTTTTGAACTCAAACCTATAGATAGAGAATGCAGAAAAAAATAAATAATTTGTAAGGCTATTTTTGGCTCCCAGGTTCTACAACTCTTCCCTAGGCCTTGTTGATATTCACCTTGCTGAATTCCTGTCTATGTGATTTATGTTTCCTTTAAAATAATGTAATTGTTTCTTGTGTATATTTATATCTCCATAGAGAATGAGGCTTTTAAAGTCAAGACTCTATCTACTGTGAATAAATTCAAAATGCTAAGAAAATAACATTAAAGAGAACAGAGTATACCTTCATGTTATTGGATGAATTATGTTCCCCAAAATTCATATGTTGATATTTTAACCCCCAAGTATCTCAGAATGTGACTGTATTTGGAAAACAAACACACACATTTTTAAAGAATTAATCAAGTTAAAATGTCATGAGGGAGAACCTAATCCAATATGACTGGCGGCCTTATAAAAAGAAGAAGTTAAGACACACACACACACAGAGGCAAGGCCAAGTGAAGACACAGGAAGAAGATAACCATCTTTAAGCCTAGGAGAGAGACCTCAGAAGACATCAGACCTGATGACATCTTGATCTAGACTCCTAGCCTCCAAAATTGTGTGACAATAACATTCTTCAAGTGTCCCAGTCTGTGATACCTTGTTATGATGGTCCTAGCAAACTCATAAATTTCACTTCTTCTACAGTCAGCCAGTTGGCAACCCCAGACCTCCAATAAAAGCCAAAAACCTACAAGTTAACTGAATCAAACAAAACATATACAGTTCTTCCATACTTTAATTCATTTTACAAAATGTGTTTTACTTTCCTATTCTTCATCATTATTTTCAAACATATTCTGCAGAAGTGCTTGACCTGCATATTGGCCATTGGGCAGTTGCTTCTGTGGATTACTGGAGACCACCAGTAGCATGCTAGAAGATTCTAATCAATGGGATCTTTGTCTCTTCATCTCACTTTGTGACAATTTCCAAAGCATTTATTTGTTTGGTGTTTGTTTCTTAGCCTTGTCTTTCAAGATTGGTGTTGTGTACACACTTGCCATGTGTTCTCTGGGGGATGAAGCAGATTAGGAGGTAGTAAAATTTACTCTTATCAGTTTTTTTTTAAATTGTATTTTAGGTTTGGGGGCACATGTGCAGAACATGCAAGATAGTTGCATAGGTACACACGTGGCAACGTGCCTACTCCTATGTCCTGAATGGTTTTACCTAGATTTTCTTCTAGGGTTTTTATGGTGTTAGGTCTTATGTTTAAATCTTTAATCCATCTGGAGTTAAATTTAGTGTAAGGTGTCAGGAAGTGTGATTTGCTGCCTTCCTCCCCTTCACCCATATCTGGCATTTCGCCCCATGCTCTCTCTCCCCAACTCCCCCTGTCCACGCTGTCCCTCCCCTATTCCCCCCAAGACCCCAATGTAGAGTGCTCCCCTCCCTGTGTCCATGTGTTCTCATTGTTCATCACCCACCTATGAGTGAGAACATGTGGTATTTCATTTTCTGTTCTTGTGTCAGTTTGCTGAGAATGATGTTCTCCAGGTTCATCCATGTCCCTACAAAGGACACGAACTCATCGTTTTTGATGGCTGCCTAATATTTCATGGTGTATATGTGCCACATTTTCCCAGTCCAGTCTATCATTGATGGGCATTTGGGTTGGTTCCAGGTCTTTGCTATTGTAAACAGTGCTGCAATGAACATTCGTGTGCATGTGTCCTTATAGTAGAACAATTTATAGTCCTTTGGATATATATCCAGTAATGGGATTGCTGGGTCAATTGGAATTTCTATTTCTTTTTTTTTTTTTTTTTTTAATTTTCATTGGATTTTAGGTTTTGGGGTACATGAGCAGAGCATGCAAGACAGTTGCATAGGTACACACATGGCAGTGTGCTTTGCTTTTCTTCTCCCCTTCACCCACATTTGGCATTTCTCCCCAGGCTATCCCTCCCCACCACCCCCTCCCACTGGCCCTCCCCTTTTCCCCCCAATAGACCCCAGTGTTTAGTACTCCCCTTTCTGTGTCCATGTGTTCTCATTTTTCATCACCCACCTATGAGTGAGAATATGCGGTGTTTCATTTTCTGTTCTTGTGTCAGTTTGCTGAGGATGATGTTCTCCAGATTCATCCATGTCCCTACAAACGACACAAACTCATCATTTCTGATTGCTGCATAATATTCCATGGTGTATATGTGCCACATTTTTCCAATCCAGTCTATTATCAATGGGCATTTGGGTTGATTCCAGGTCTTTGCTATTGTAAACAGTGCTGCAGTGAACATTCGTGTACATGTGTCCTTATAGTAAAACAATTTACAGACTTTTGGATATATACCCAGTAATGGGATTGCTGGGTCAAATGGAATTTCTATTTCTAAGGCCTTGAGGAATCACCACACCGTCTTCCACAATGGCTGAACTAGTTTACACTCCCACCAACAGTGAAAAAGTGTTCCTATTTCTCCACATCCTCTCCAGCATCTGATGTCTCCAGATTTTTTAATGATCACCATTCTAACTGGCATGAGATGGTATCTCAATGTGGTTTTGATTTGCATCTCTCTAATGACCAGTGATGATGAGCATTTTTTCATGTTTGTTGGCCTCATGTATGTCTTCTTTTGTAAAGTGTCTGTTCATATCCTTTGTCCAATTTTGAATGGGCTTTTTTTTTTTTCTTATAAATCTGTTTTACTTCTTTGTAGATTCTGGATATCAGCCCTTTGTCAGATGGGTAAACTGCAAACATTTTTTCTATTCTGTTGGTTGCTGATTCACTTTAATGACTGTTTCTTTTGCCATGCAGAAGCTGTGGAGTTTGATTAGGTCCCATTCGTCTACTTTGGCTTTTGTTGCCAATGCTTTTGGTGTTTTGGTCATGAAGTCCTTGCCTACTCCTATGTCCTGAATGGTTTTGCCTAGATTTTCTTCTAGGGTTTTTATGGTGTTAGGTCTTATGTTTAAATCTTTAATCCACCTGGAGTTAATTTTAGTGTAAGGTGTCAGGAAGGGGTTCAGTTTCTGCTTTCTGCACACAGCTAGCCAGTTTTCCCAACACCATTTATTAAACAGGGAATCCTTTCCCCATTGCTTGTTTTTGTCAGGTTTATCCAAGATTGTATGGTTGCAGATATGTTGTGTTGCCTCCGATGCCTCTGTTCTGTTCCATTGGTCTATATCTCTGTTTTGGTACCAGTACCATGCTGTTTTGGTACCAGTACCATGCTGTTTTGATTCCTGTAGCCTTGTAGTATAGTTTGAAGTCCAGTAGTGTGATGCCTCCTGTATTCTTTTTACTTGGAATTGACTTGGCTATGCGGGCTCTCTTTTGGTTCCACATGAAGTTTAAGGTGGTTTTTTTACAGTTCTGTGAAGAAGGTCATTGGTAGCTTGATGGGGATAGCATTGAATCTGTAAATTACTTTGGGCAGTATGGCCATTTTCACGATATTGATTCTTCCTAACCATGAACATGGAATGTTTCTCCATCTGTTTGTGTCCTCTCTTATTTCGTTGAGCAGTGGTTTGTAGTTCTCCTTGAAGAGGTCCTTTACATTCCTTCTTAGTTGTATTCCTAGGTATTTTATTCTTTTTGTAGGAATTGTGAATGGCAGTTCGTTCCTGATTTGGCTCTCTTTCAGTCTGTTATTGGTGTATAGGAATGCTTGTGATTTCTGCACATTGATTTTGTATCCCAAGACTTTGCTGAAGGTGCTTTTCAGTTTCAGGAGTTTTCGGGCTGAGACGATGGGGTCTTCTAGATATACTATCATGTCATCTGTAAATAGAGACAATTTGGCTTCCTCCTTTCCTATTTGAATACCCTTTATTTCTTTTTCTTGCCTGACGGCTCTGGCTAGAACTTCCAGTACTATATTGAATAGGAGTGGTGAGAGAGGGAATCCTTGTCTAGTACCAGATTTCAAAGGGAATGTTTCCAGTTTTTGCCCATTCAGTATGATATTCGCTGTTGGTTTGTTGTAAATAGCTTTTATTATTTTGAGATACGTTCCATCAATACCGAGTTAATTGAGGGTTTTTAGCATAAAGCGCTGTTGAATTTTGTCAAAGGCCTTCTCTGCATCAATTGAGATAATCATGTGGTTTTTGTTTTTGGTTCTGTTTACGTGGTGAATTATGTTTATAGACTTGTATATGTTGAACCAGGCTTGCATCCCCAGGATGAATCCTACTTGATCATGGTGGATAAGCTTTTTGATGTGCTGTTGCAACCAGCTTGCTAGTATTTTATTGAAGATTCTTGCATCTATGTTCATCATGGATATTGGCCTGAAGTTTTTTTTTGTTGTTGGGTCTCTGCCAGGTTTTGGTATCAGGATGATGTTGGTCTCATAAAATGATTTGTGAAGGATTACCTCTTTTTGGATTATTTGTAATAGTTTCAGAAGGAATGGTAACAGTTCCTCTTTGTGTGTCTGGTAGAAGTCGGCTGAGAACCCATCTGGACCTGGGCTTTTTTTGTGTGGTAGGTTCTTAATTGCTGCCTCAACTTCAGATCTTGTTATTGGTCTATTCATGGTTTCAACTTCTTCCTGGTTTAGGCTTGGGAGGACACAAGTGTCCAGGAATTTATCCATTTCTTCCAGGTTTACTAGTTTATGTGCATAGAGTTATTTGTAATATTTTCTCATGATGGTTTGAATTTCTGTGGAATCTGTGGTGATTTCCCCTTTATCGTTTTTTATTGCATCTATTTGGTTGTTCTCTCTTTTCTTTTTTACCAGTCTGGCTAGTGGTCTGTCTATTTTGTTGATTTTTCAGAAAACCAGCTCTGGGATTTATTGATTTTTTTGAAGGGTTTTTCAAGTCTTTATCTCCTTCAGTTCTGCTCTGATCTCTGTTATTTCTTGTCTTCTGCTAGGTTTTGAGTTTTTTTTATCTTGCTCCTTTAGCTCTTTCAATTTTGACAATAGGGTATCAATTTTGGATCTCTCCACTCTTCTCATGGGGGCACTTTTTGCTATATATTTTCCTCTAGAGACTGCTTTAAATGTGTCCCAGAGATTCTGATATGTTGTGTCTTCATTCTCATTGGTTTTGAAGAACTTCTTTATTTCTGCCTTCATTTCATTGTTTATCCAGTCAACATTCAAGAGCCAGTTGTTCAGTTTCCATGAAGCTTTGCAGTTCTGAGTTAGTTTCTGAATTCTGAGTTCTAACTTGATTGCACTGTGGTCTGAGAGACTGTTTGTTATGATTTCAGTTCTTTTGCATTTGCTGAGCAGTGCTTTACTTACAATTATGTGGTCAATTTTAGAGTAGGTGTGATGTGGTGCTGAGAATAATGTATATTCTGTGGATTTGGGGTGGAGAGTTCTGTAAATGTCTATCAGGTTTGCTTGTTCCAGGTCTGAGTTCCAGCCCTGGATATTCTTGTTAATTTTCTGTCTGGTTGATCTGTCTAATATTGACAGTGGAGTGTTAAAGTCTCCCACAATTACTGTGTGGGAGTCTAAGTCTCTTTGTAAGTCATTAAGAACTTGCCTTTTGTATCTGGGTGCTCCTGTATTGGGTCCATATATATTTAGAATCATTAACTCTTCTTGTTGTATGGATCCTTTTACCACTATGCAATGTCCTTCTTTGTCTCTTTTGATCTTTGTTGCTTTAAAGTCTATTTTATCAGAGATGAGAATTGCAACTCCTTCTCTTTTTTTGCTCTCCATTTGCTTGGTAAATATTAATCCATCCCTTTATTTTGAGCCTTTTGTATCCTTGAATGTGAGATGGGTTTCCTGGATACAGCACACCAGTGGGTTTTGGCTTTTTATCCAATTTGCCAGTCTCTGTCTTTTGATTGGTGCATTCAGCCCATTTACATTTAGGGTTAATATTGTTATGTGTGAATTTGATACTGCCATTTTGATTCTAGCTGGCTGTTTTTGCTCATTAGTTGATGCAGATTCTTCATTTTGTTGATGCTCTTTAGCATTTGGTATGTTTTTGGAGTGACTGGTACTGGTTGTTCCTTTCTATGTGTAGTGCCTCTTTCAGGAGCTCTTGTAAAGCAGGCCTGGTGGTGACAAAATCTCTGAGTACTTGCTTGTTCACAAAGGATTTTATTTTTCCTTCACTTCTGAAGCTTAGTTTGGCTGGATATGAAATTCTGGGTTGAAAGTTCTTTTCTTTAAGGATGTTGAATATTTGCCCCCACTCTCTTCTGGCTTATAGGGTTTCTGCCAAGAGATCTGCTCTGATTCTGATGGGCTTCCCTTTGTGGGTAACCTGACCTTTTTCTGTGGCTGCCTGTAGCATTTTCTCCTTCATTTCAATCCTGGTGACTCTGACAATTATATGCCTTGGGGTTGTTCTTCTTGAGGAACATCTTTGTGGTGTTCTCTGTATTTCCTGGACTTGAATATTGGCCTGCCTTGCTAGGTTGGGGAAGTTTTCCTGGATAATATCCTGAATAGTTTTTTCCAGCTTGGATTCATTCTCTTTGTCACATTCAGGTACACCTATCAAATGTAGATTAGGTCTCTTCACATAGTCCCACATTTCTTGGAGACTTTGTTGATTCCTTTTTGCACTTTTTTCTCTAATCTTGCCTTCTCATTTTATTTCATTGAGTTGATCTTCGACCTCTGATATCCTTTCTTCTGCTTGGTCAATTCGGCTGTTGAAATTTGTGCATGCTTCATGAAGTTCTCATGTTGTGTTTTTCAGCTCCATCAATTCACTCATATTCCTCTCTAAGTTGTCCATTCTTGTTATCATTTCATCAAATCTTTTTTCAAGGTTCTTAGTTTCTTTGCATTGAGTTAGAACGTGTTCTTTTAGCCTACAGAAGTCTCTCATTACCCACCTTCTGAAGTCTGATTCCGTCATTTCATCACACTCATTCTCTGACCAGCTTTGTTCCCTTGCTGGTGAGGAGTTGTGATCCCTTGTAGGAGGTGAGGTGTTCTGGTTTCAGCTGTTTTCCTCCTTTTTGCGCTGGTTTCTTCCCTCTTTGTGGATTTATCCACCTGTCATCTGTGTAGTTGCTGATTTTCAGATTCAGTCTCTGAGTGGATGTCCAGATTGTTGATGATGAAGTTATTTCTGTTTCTTAGTTTTCCTTCTAACAGTCTGGCCCCTCTGCTTTAGGACTGCTGAGGTCCACTTCAGGCC